GGAAAATTGTAGCTGATAAGTAGTCTGACTATTCTCTCTTCATTTGCAGGCACACTTATACTTACAAGTGATAAGTTAAAGGGGATATTTTGTACCTTATCTGTTGTTAGAGCAATTGTTTTCATCATCAATGCTTTGCAGCAGAGTGTAGAGTTAAGTTTGATATACTGACAGGGTAGTGGAAGGGAGACTCCCAATTCTTATAAATGTGAAATATTAAAATAAAAATCCACTAACCATGTTAGTCCTTCTATTTTGTTTATATTAGCTGACTGCCCATACTATAGGGTGCTGTGGACAATAGCCAATGGACACTAAAATTTACAATGCTATATTCTTGGACATAGAAGATATAACCCTAGATTAGGTATTTCCTTGACCTTTCTCATGGAAAATCTGGATTCAGATCTGTCATCCTGCTCTATTCCATGCTTCCCAAATTCAAGTTCAAGTTCAGGGACAAATAGAGAAAAGCTAGAAGAGAGAGAGAGAGATAAGATATAGCTTGTAGAAAAACAGGACAGAAATTAGGAATTAAGCCCCAGCTATAGAGATATTTGGCACTGCTACAATGGCTGGGGGTCCAAAACTATAGGAGCAGGATATGAACAAAGAGGGGAGATCATTCTAACATTTTGTAAAGAGAAATCTGAAACCAGAATTCTGAACTCAGGAAAGTAGAAACTGGAGCTTCACCTGATAAGACAACCAAGAAAATTTTCTCAAGCCTAGTTGACAAAGAAGCTCTAATAAGGAAGAAACAGAATGAAACAAGACAACTATTTTGGCTTCACTTCCTATACTTGACCCCTTTCGATAACTCTAACCCATTTGATGTCCTATGTTCAAAAGAGACAGGCAGACATGGGAAAGAACAGCTACAACAACACAACAAAGATTATCATCTCTCTTATATTATTCCAAGGTATCCTAATTAACATCTGGAGGCTGAATAATGATAGAAAATTATTTGACTTCTATTTACCCTTGCCATGTTGCAGATCCGGAATATCCGATTAATAATATCCTCATCTATGTCAGCGGAAACAAATTCCACTTGGATTGGCCCATAACAACAAGATGTCTTCTCTGGCCAGTACTGCATACAAAGCTGATCATAGTGAAAGGAAAACAAACACAAATCAAGAGGAAAGAAGGGGAAATGCAAAATACCAACCTTCACACAAAATCTTAGAGTGTTAACTTATATTAAGGAAACTTCGAACACACTCTGTATGTAGCATTAAAATGTTAATGACAGATACAAAGGAATTCATTCTCTTGATCCTCAGTCCTAGTTTAGCAAAGGATTGTTCATCCTGAAATCTCACTAGTCCAAACCCTTGCTTGCTGAGGGAAATTATTATCAGATCTGATCAAACTATTTATTACAGGAATCAGATTAATGCATTTATCCAACATGGGCCAAGTAGTAACTAAAAGTGCCTGACCCATACATACTTATGTCCTCAAAAATCCACCTACTTGGGCAGCATCCATTTCATTCAGCATCACAACAGAAGAACAGTTGTAATCAAACACCAGTCTCCAGAAATCAGCTACAGTGTTGGGCAATGGATGCTGAGTAACTATAAAGGCAGCAGGTTGCTTGTGGCTCTAGAGGAAGAAAAAACAATGGGAGAAAATAATCCATGTTAGCGACAAAAACCTGTCACTGTTTATCGACACTTAGGAGCCTATGGACAGGCAAACGGATTAACCTAACCAGATTATACAAATCACAGCTCATACTCTGTTTCTGCCACACATTGAATGGATACAGCCTGTATAATAGGGCTTCATATCATTAGGGAAGAAGCATAGGAACAAGAATTATTCCTTTTGCATAACAATTAGAATAAATGACTCAGTATGCCAGCTGGAAGCAAGACTTTTCCTACAGAAATCAATAATGGGGAAGCTAGACTATGATAGATTAACTTGACGCAACAAGCTTCTGCTGCCCTAAATTTACACAAGTCTGTCTGTCTGTCTGTCTGTCTGTCCGTCCGTCCTTCCTTCCTTCCTTCCTTCCTTCCTTCCTTCCTTCCTTCCTTCCTTCCTTCCTTCCT